GCTAACTCATAACATCGGAATTAGTATTTTATTCTATTTTGATAGTAACATGATTTTTTGTTGGCCATATGCCTGTCAGTTATTTTGTACCGTTAGTTTTCCAGTTTCATTATGAACGATTTGTTTGTTCCTTACTAGCATATCCTTGAAATTCTGTGCATCAAGAAAACAAAATGTTAATTTCAATCTGCACATTTCCGATGAAGAGCAACATGTGCATTTGTGTATGCAGCTATAAGAAAAACTAGGAACTAGGCAGCACCAGACCAGTTCAAACTCATGGTCTGGTTGGTTCACGCGTTAATTAGTAAGCGAAACATGTTGAATTCGCCATATTTTGTAAATACATATTTGCCATGTGCACTAATAATCAATGAATCGCTGATAACTAGTGCCTACTGTTGCTGATTTTGCGACCATGAAGAAAAGCGAAGTATAGTTGCATGAGCTTTTTATGCGATTCGATTATTTTCATGGCGTCCGTGAGTCATGCGAGGCGGAAATATGATTTGCTGTTCACTTCAGCAAAATGGTCGATTGTCCATTAATCGCGAGCTATAAAGATGTAAAATGTTTGAGAACATGATTCACCGCACACAGTTTATCTTCTGTGATGTAAACGACGACTTTAATCGGTATCGCTCACGATGAAGAAACAAGTCTAAGAGGCTTCTTCACGACCAATTATTGCACTGGCTGTTCTTAACTCTTTCGTCTTCAAACTGGCTTCTCTGTTTTTTCTTATGACAGCGTATGGTGTATTTACATACACCAGTTTTTTAATCTGCGCTTCGGTCCTTCAGCTATTTGGTTGTACTATTGTTTCTTCCTGATGAACTTTTTCAACATTTCCTTCTATCACCGCTGAGCTGTTATTAACAGTTTCAGGAGTTTCTAGTCGCAGCGTGGAGCTGCATATCAGGTTATGTTGAAATGCGCACTTTTAGAGGTGTCTTAGACTTACTTTTCTTCCTTACGAAGTTAGTAAATGAGTACCACTTTATAGGAAAGAAACAGGAGACTGCACACTGCGCTTGCTACGTAGTCGTTGTTGAAGCTGTTTTTAAAATTTTTGTTTATCTTTGCTGACGGCATAAAAAGAGAGATCACCACCCACCATTAACTTTATTAGCAAAAGGGCATCACTGTTCTTTCATTAAAGTACAATAAATACCGACATTCAGGAGATTGCAAACTTCATTTTCTTTTACTTCAGTACAACCAGTGAAATGAAAAGCTTCGACAGATTAGGGATTGCCAAGTCGGCGCAGTCGAGTAATCGGTTCTCCGTTTCCTCTGCCTTCACTGATGATCCCTCTAATGTACTTTACGTTTTGGAGGCTCGATGTAGCAGTTCATCTAGAAATACATTCTTGCACATTTTTCATACTTCGCCCAATTAATCGTTTCTATGTTACATTTGGTTCTCTTAATTGTAATTTTTTTGTTATGAAATGCGGGGTACCGTAACCCGTATTCATCAATAGATGACTAGCAGGTTATATTATTCTCGCCAAACCCTCCGAATACTCTGTAAGAGTGTCACAAAACTTTCATGAAGGTGTCTGAAACGGATATCTCGAATGATGCTCTACATCGAAGAAGGCATGTCGTCATACGTTTTTTTGCAAGCCACCCTTCAGTGAAATAGCGCTGGTAGTTTTCTGTTGCCCTAAATCACTTGCGCCTATATTCGCTTTAACATGATCAAGCATAACGAGGTGATTTTGAACCATTTTGGATGGACTGATCTTCCAAGAAGAAAATGTGGCGGTGGATTCTTAAAATATGTTCGGCAGAAATGATGTGGCCGTCTAAGACAACTTTTTGTTTCATTCTGATAGCACTGGCTGCGTGATTCACTGCTGCTGGAAAAAATTGATACCCTTGTTTCAGCGTCTAATGTAAAGAACTGTTTACACCGCTCTCGACTGCAGCTGGTCTCTAACTAGAAAAATTTGCAGACTCGTGATAGCGTTTTTTGTCACCAGCTCTTCAGAAGAATATAATCATTCTATCCGGATAATCGAATTGGCGCTGTTTTGATGCCCTTCTACTCCTTGGACTG